GTGAGACATATTTGATGAAAGATAAAAACCATGATTATATCTCACACTTTCTCTTAATAGCTAAAATACATGTTTTGATTTAAGATATCTTAAGCCAATACTTTATATCTAAATCAATGAGTTTAACATAAAGACTTCTAGCCTAATGATATTATACCTATTAAGTCTAAGGCTTTCAAGGTGTATCCAAGTTTGTATGAATGTCTTTATTCTTCTTAAACTCTTTTTGAATCATCCTTCTTTTTATCTTTATATTCTTCAATAATGAGTGTAACATGCAAATGATGACTTAAACTTTGTTCCTCTTCATGCTTACTCTCATCTTCACTTTAAATAACCTTAAATGATATATCATGAATAAAATGATTAGTCCAAGTGTCAATATGCATATATTCAAGTTATGAAAGATGATACTTTGAATCACTATTGAATATAGAATCAATTCAAGATAAGAAAAAATATGATAGTATAAAATAACTTTGATACACACAAATCATTTTTTCAAATCTCATGTAATATGAAACAATATAGGTAAAAATACTTTAAAGCATTTGTTCCATAGATGTAGTTAACTATTCTATATATATAAAAACAATTAGGCATAAGAATATTTAACTCATCTATATTTGTCATCATCAAAACTTCAACTAACACATAATGTCACAAGTCATTATGTCCGACATATAATACATGGGTAAAAATGAAATGATACTTTTTCAAACTACAAAATATAAATATCCTGCATTTTTTTATTAATTTATAGAGAATATTTTACATTATAGACCATAGTCAGTAGGGAAAATGATGAATAAGGACCTTGTAAGAATATTAATATTAAATTAAAACTTTTTAACACTGACGTTCCTAAATTTCTGTACTCTTTCTACCATGTTTTAGTTCTAAATTTTTTAATTTGATACTAATATTTTTACAAGGTTCTCACTTGTCATTTTTCCTAATAAGTATAGAGGATTGGAAATTACGACGTTAAGTTTAAACTATTTCAGCTGCTCCATTTACCTAGTACTCCCTAGTCCTAATTTATAAGACATTTTTTCAAAAGGCTTGACATTTTAAAATATAAGTTACTTTGACAAAAATAAAATTTTATTAATAATATTCTTTCAATATTACCCTTTCTATATATTTTCTCTTTTTGATTTTTTTTACAAATGAAGTATTAAATGAAAAATATTTTAAAAGTTTACATTTTTGTTTTGAAATATTAAGATTTTTAAAGTGTATTTAATGAATTTTATTAATATGTATGATTTTATCTAAAAACATCATATCAATTGAAACAAGGGGAGTATTTAGTACATGGAAAATAGATTTATTTAAATCATGAAACTTTATTTTTTTCATAAGTTCATAAAAATTATTTTAATTTTTGCATCAACAACTAACAACAATAATGCTGCCACAGTATTTTGTAAACATAGAAATGACAAGAGGGAGTTTATAAAGAAAGGCAAAAAAACATAACTATCAATCCTTATAATTTTATCATATTTTGTTATTGATATTTATATATATATATATATATATATTTATAACTCTAGGTCTCTATAGTTTTTCTCATCCACAACATTACTTCTTTTATCTTTAAATATGTCCACAGCCTTGAATTACAAGTGGTATATGTAAATTTTGAAACTCTGTACCCCAAACTTTTAATATTTTACACTCTCTAAACTAAATATAAAAAAATATTTGAATTCAAAAGCTTATTAGATACTCCCTCTATTCAAAAATATAATGTATTTTTTGAAAAATTGAATGTTAAAAAATGTAAGGTATTTTTAATTTTTCGAGATGTAATCATTGCCTTTTTTTTAAAAGTGCCCCTATTGATAATGACTTTATATTTATTATAGGGTGTTTAATAAGAATAAATATAATAAGATAGAGTTAGCTTGAAAGTAGGTGATTACTTTATTAGGAAATAAAATTTAGTTAAAAATACATTAAATTTTTGAATGAAGGGAGTATATAATACATTAATAATCTAGATAAAATATGAAAAGCATATTTACAATAAAAGATTATATCAACATATTCAATATAATCTTTTTAAAATGAAAAATGATGTTCAATTTATTTATGTTATTACAATTTTAGTCATAGAATAATTATTATTTTTAAAAATATTAATTTTTTTATTAAATTATTTTGTACCTCTTAACTTTAAGTGTTGGCTCCACCATTGCCCAAAGGACAACAATGTGACATTATATTAACAGTGTTAAATTATCTGACATGTAAACAATGATGTTAAATCTTGTACTAAATGTTAAAATAAGAAAGAAAGAGACAAAAAAGTACTCATCTACTCCTATTTATAAGTTACTTTTAATATATTTTATCAGTACTAAGAAAAATCTTAAAACTTATTAACCCTATCTTAAAACTTAATAAATTTTTAACTTTGCCCATATTAAATATACATACTTTAATAATATATTTTTTCTCTCCAATATTTAACGTAGAGTTAAAAAAGAAATTTTGTGATAAAAATTTAATGACATAATTTATAAATAAGATAAAAAAAATTCTTTTCTCTTTGTCTTATAAATAGTACAAGAGGGAATAACAACATATAGGGTAATAAAGATTAATCGAAAGAAATTGAAGACTATGCCCGACTAAATGAACTCCAAACTCAACATTAACTCCAAAAAAACAATCAATGCAGCTTCAAAATCAGAAAAAAAAACATATGGGATTGTAAACGAAGCCAAAACAGAAGCAATGAGAGGAGTTCGAAGTTTGTAAAAATGATCAAAATAAAACTTAACCTCTGTTTGACGTGTAGTCAAGTAGTGATATGACATTAGTTGCTTGTTACAGGTTAAAACACATACAATTTTTTTAAATTTTGAGATACTTGTATATAACCCCTATCATCCTTTAAAAGTTTAAAATTAACTTCCATAATTTTTAATTTTATTCTTCAAAATCCCTTATTGTTAATTATATTATTTTTTCATGAGAATTAAAATGTCATTCAATTAAAAAATGTTATTTATTTGAATTATATGTAACTGTCTTAAAATTTAGAGAGTTTTTACACATTTTAGCCCACATTATATAATTAATTTAATGCTGTTACTGTTACGTCACCATCCATTGAGGCATATTTATTTGGGTAAGACTTATGTGTTTTTCCTTATATATTTAATATACTGTTGTCCAATTAAATAAAGATATGTGAACTTTATGTGTTAATAATATTAATAACAAGAATTTATTATAGAATAAATAATTTATAAAAGATACACATATCTTGATTTAATTAATTAAAAACAAGCACTTTAAGTATATAAATTTTTTTATTTAAAAATAAAGAAACTAATATTACAGATAGAAAAAACTATAACAATGTGGAATAACGAACAATGACTGATAACAAAATACAATAAGATTACATGGATTAATAATTATTCTCTCCATTCAAAAGTAAGACATTTTTAATCTTTTAAGGTGTAATTCTTGTTATTTTTTTAAAAAATGTTTCTATTAATGAATGATTTTACATTTATTATAGGGTGTTTAATAGAAATAAATATAAAAAAATAAAGTTAATTTAAAAATATATAATTATTTTATTAAAAGATAAAATTTTATTAAAAATATTTTTTATTTTTAAATAGGGAGAATATGTCTTTTTGCTTTTTAAAGAAAAGAAATGACAAGGAGGAATGAGGCTGTCAACTCAGAGAAAACTGTATTGGCAAAAAAAAAAAAAAAGGACAGAAAAAGCTGTTACATTGAGCGGTGGGAGGAAGAGCATTCAATTCCATTCAATAATATGAACCTAAAACTTGCAACTAAAACATGAAGGCCTAACCGTACCCTGACCTGATTTTGTTACTGGTTACAAATGAAATTTAAACCATTTAAATTTTAATTTAAATAATCTAAATTTAAATTATTATTATATATTATATTTTTAAAATAAAATTTTTATTTTTAATATAGTCTAAATTTAATTTGAAGAGTCCATTTTAATATTAACATTTTTATAATTGATATATTAATTTTTTAGATGTCCTTTGCACATTCTAAATTTAATCTGGTGTTAATTTGAATTGTGTGGACTATATCTAGATAATCAATATATAGTATTATAAAAATTTTAATATTAAATTAGATCTTTTAAATTAAATTTAGACTATATTAAAAATAAAAAATTATTAAAATTATTTTATAATTTTTATAAAATTTTATTTTAAAAAATTAATATATAATAATGGTTTAAATTTGGATCATTCAAATCAAAATTTGAATAATTTAAATCTCATTATAGTGATAAGCACCTCTGATGAGCACCCAAACCAAATACAATGGCACCCTGCTTTGGTTTGGTATTTTTTTTAATAAAATGGAAATATGTGAAACAAAATATCGTTTGTCATTGATTTCTTGTATTTATGATATTTTTTATTTTTATATTGAGAGTAATAGATGTAAAAACATGATTTTCAAACGCAAGATCAAAGGGACTCTTTTATAAATAAATTTTTTATATATAATTATGCACATATATCCATTGGTTTTTTTTTTGAAAAATTAATATTCCTGATTTGTATGTTCATATTATAAGATATTTTTAATTACTTTACTAAAATTTAAAAGAGATGATTAAGTCATTAATTTTTTTAAAATAAAATAAAATTTTAATTTTATTCCATTTAAATAATTTTTTTAAATTTATATTATATTATCTCTCATAATATGAGAAAAATATTGAAAAAAAAACGATGATTAATAAGTTCCAAAATTCTTCTATAAGAAGTACTGTGTAATTGGGCCAGTAATATCTTCACTCCCTCGTCCTTTGCTTTAAAAACCATTGTCGCAGAGTCGCAGAGCCTTTTTGCTGATCAAAATTAATGCATTCACCCTCCTCAAACAAAAAGTCACGCCTTCCTCGTCGATCGCCTTCATCAGTTTCAATGGTGAAGAAATTGATGAAGCTTTCATCTCTGTTCAACACCAATAAGCTCCATCAATGCCACTTCTTCTTCCCACCATCTTGTGCCCACCTCAATACCCTATCGTTCCGAGCAGCCATGGACGACAATGACGACTGTATATTCTGTAGCCCTTTTCAAACTTGTCAGCCTAGAATAAGCTCCTCAACAGAACCTGATCTTCTGGGTGATCACTTCAACGATTATGACAGTAAATCCTTGGAGATATTTCAACAGTTCAAGACCAAGCAATCATCTCCACTGCTCCGTCATCATCCATGGCAGTTCTTCTCCCCACCATCTTGTGCTCATCTCGAAACCCTATCTTTCCGCACAGCCATTGACAACGACGACGACGACAATAACGTGAACCATGTAAGTTTTTCAATAACCGATGAACCAGATTATTATTATTATTTTGACGGTGGTGATCAGTCTTTGGAGATGTTAGTGCGTGGAATATTGAGTTGTTCATATCAGAGGTTGTTTTTTGAGCCTAATGGCAACAACACAAGCTCATCCATGTTAGACAAGACCAACAAGGAAACCTTCGAAGCTGTGTCTGAAAATGAAAGATCCGAGGTTGATGATGTGGAAGAGAGTGATCCGATAATGGTGGTTTTGGAATCAGAAGATCCTTTGGAGGACTTTAAGAGATCAATGGAGGAGATGGTGGAGTTTCTGGGAGTGAAGGATTGGGAAGGATTGGAGGAGTTGTTGAGTTGGTATTTAATAATAAATGAGAAGATAAATGAAGGGTTTATAGTGAGAGCTTTTATGGATTTAGTGTCTAATTTATCAACGTCTGCCGGTGGCTGCTCTTCTGCTGAGTCATACTCTGATGCACTTTCTTCTTTGCCATTGGCTTAGGTCAAGAACGTTGTAAACTAATTAATCCTCATATCTTATTTATAAAGTAGAGAGTATTTATTTTAATTCTATCTAAAGGATACTTATTATTATATTTATCTTTATCTTTTTGCTTCAATTAAATATTGAGAAGGTTATTACATAATGCTAAGTATTACTCTCTCTGTCCTAAATTATAAGATATTTTTAAAAAAGATTCAACATTTAAAATATAATATAATACTTTAAGAATATTAAAGTTTTATTAAATATGTTTATTTCAAGATTACTCTTTCTCTCTCTATTTAATTCTCATCCCTCTCTTTTCAATATATTAAATGAAGTGTATTTTTGAAAGTTTATATTTTCGTTTTTAAAAAATAAAGTTGTTAAGTATATTTAATAAAGTTTATTAGTATGTGAGATTTTATCTAAAAGTGTCTTATAATTTGAGACAGAGGAATTATATTTTTAAAATATGCATATTTAATAGGGGTAAAATTGAAAACTTGTTAAATTTTTAAACAAAGTAATGATATTTAAGATTTTTTTTATTCTAATAAAAATATTAGAAGTGACTCATAAATAGAATATGTAATTTTCATTTCAAATTACAATAAATCTAAATAGTCTAAACCAATGATTTAAAAATTGGATCAAACCAAATGGTCGAATCGTCGATCAAAGCTATTAATGGCTCCATTTGGACCAAAAAATTATTTTTATAATTGAGCTAGATTTGACTTGAGTTGAGCCGTTATTGAGCTAAAAATTGAAGTGATTTTCAGAACCAGACGATTTTAAACATAACATTAAAAAATTTAAAAAACTAAAAAAATTTAAAAATTAGTTACTACTAAAAGCTAATTTTATTTTTGAATAATTCATAAATTATAGATTCAAATAAGGGTGTTCAACTTAGATCCATCCCGATAATATCGTCCTGAAAATAATATTTTTGGATAATATCGGGACGGGTCTTGTCTCGGCCTGAAAACAATTAGGATGGGACTTTGCAGGATCAAAAAGGAAAGGGGTCGGGACGGGACAGGACACGGGATTACCATCAAGATTTCCCGTCCCGTCTCGTCCCGAATATTATATATATATATATATATATTATTTTTTATTTTAAATATATTAATTATATTAATATAATTTATACTTCTATTAATTATATCAATTATAATTTCAATACTTGCAATTTCATATTTAAAATTGAATTTTTTTATATTGATAATTTTAATAATATTGAGTAAACATAACGATATCTTTCTTTATAATATATTAATTATATTAATATAATTTATTCTTATATCTATCTATTTAATAAATTTTATTTATATCTTATTTTTTCTTTTATTTTTAAAAGAGTAATTAGCTTAATACATCTCTACTAAAGAAGAAGAATAATGATTTGATGTTGTGTTTAACTTGCTTGTTGTTGCTACTCTTATAGCCTAAAAATCACTTGTATTTGCTATTATAATGTATAATTGTGATTAATATAATTCAATAATTGATTTTAAATTGTTATGATTTATGTACTTGTGTTGTTTTGATTTTAAACTTAATAAATTATATGATTTAAAATTTTAATGAATATTATTATTCAGATCTTTCTTCGATATTATTTGATTTATCGAGACGGCAGGATATCTTGATGTTGTCCTGGTGCCGTTCTGACTCCTAATGAGACGGGACAACTTTTAGAACGGGACGGGACATGAGACCAAAATTCAGTCTTGATCTTTTTTTCGGGATGGGACATGGGACAGGGGTGTCCCTGTCCCATAAACACCCCTAGATTCAAATATAGATACTTTTAAATTTACTCTTATTTACACTCCCATCCGGTGTCTTGTCCTATAAACACCTCTAGATTCAAATATAAATACTTTTGAGTTTACTCATATCTAATTTAATACTTTTGACTCTACTCATGTTTAATTTAACTAAGATCCACATATATTTGACAAGTTAATTATAAAATTATAATTTATAATATTATTATACATTTAAGGGTTAAGGGTCATTTTTGCCCCTGAACTGTACACAAAAAGGTCACAAATGCCCTTGAATTCAACCATGGATTAATTCTATTTCTCAACGTTAAAAATTTTTTCCATCATCACCTTGACATTAAAAACACTTAACGTTCTTTAGTCATTAGTGGGTCCTACTATTTTTTAAATATTTTTTATCAAGTTAAGAGTAATTTTTGCCCCTCAACTCAAATATTTTATAATTAAAAAATATTTAAACATATAATGTGGGGCCCACTAATGGTCACCTAACAATAAGAAAACAATAGGGTGATGACAAAGAGAATCTTTAAAGTTGAGAAATAAAATTGACTTATAGTTAAGTTCAGAGACATTTGTGACCTTTCGTGTATAGTTTAAGGATAAAGATGACCCTTAACCCTACACTTAATATTATTTTTATTTAATTATTATGTTATCGATTTGACCATTGGTCTAACTCGGTTGGATTATGTGAACTGTAAACTGCTAGTTTTTTCAATTTAATATTTGATTCGATTCTGAAAACATTAGTCTAAACCCAATTTCAACAATTGATTTTAAAATTTTTGATTGATAATTTTTAAAAACAAATTTAATTTTTTTTAAAAAAATGATAGTTAAGAGATTTTTTTTATTTTAAATTTTGCATATACTAAAATTACAAGCTATTAAATATATTAAATTTGGACTATTCAATTTCAATTTGAATGATTCAAATTGATGTTCCGTACTATTAGAAAAAGTCATATTAGTGAGGATAAATAGTGAGGAATTAGTTATTCCTCCCTAATTAGTAAGAAATTTTATGAGGAAATTTAATTTCACATTCAAAAATAAATTTAATGAAAAAATTTAGCGAGGGATGACATGATCCTCTAATTTGCTTAATTAGTGAGGGAATTAAATAACAAGAAATAATATAGTTCTCTCTAATTAAATTGCCCAAATAGCAAAGGAATAAGGTTCTCGTTAATTTGCAATTTTCTTTTAGTATTCATCATCTAAGTGATGATGGGCACTGAAACTACTTCATAAAATTTTCTCTCTAATTAAACTGCCTAAATAGCAAGGGAATAAGGTTCTCACTAATTTGTAATTTTCTTGTAGTGTTCATCATTTAAGTGATGATAGGCATTGAAACTACTTCATGAAATTTTCTTTTTGTAATATATAGTCTCCTAGAGATCCCTATATTTACGTGTCTCAGGATATATTGATCTAGGTAAGGCCTCTCAATGTTTATCTTCAGCAAACTTGGGCCATTTTAGGATCTTCAATTCCTTGACATTTCAATCCATGGATCTCTAAGCGTAGTAACATGGGTTCATGCTCATGGACCGTCGATTTGATTCACTTTGGTGAACAGGTTCTTCAAAAAGGGAAATGCAAAGCATACTTAAATTTTGATATGATAAAAGTGAAAGACATTAAAGAATCAAGTTTTCAAAAAAAAAAAAAAGGAGAGTTTAGAAAGATATAATTGAGAAACACATGAATTTTATTTCCTAAATGAGTTTTGCTTTACAACATGTTTGAAGCCTCTTTATACAGACAGAGGTAGAAGGATCAAGATAACTTCTTCATAATTACAAGAAGACAAACTGATATCATATGTTTACATACTTTAGACAAATATGACATAAAGCAAAAGTGATTGACTTAATTAAAGTATGCAATTTTGTTCAAAAGTCAAAAGTATATAACTGTTGACAAAATTTATTATAAGACAAACTTAACTTTGATAAAAAAAAATAATTAAAGTAAAACAATGGCAAAAGGAAATATAATTAAAGTAAAGCAGATTCTTTTCTTTACTGTCGCAACTATTGCATGCTCATATGGATGTATTACTAGCTAATAAGAACAAATGAACAACATGCTACAAAAATTTAAAAGAACAACATCACAGTAAAGGAATCTCACTTATTCATATATTGTCCTACAAGATCATCTCAATATAGAAGACACTTGATAATTAATGCAAATTCTCATGACATATAGGTTAATGGCATGCATTGCATTGAATTTATAAGCCATAAAACGCACAACATTCAAGAGGAATAGTTAAAGAACTACATAAAATCAATGTAAAAAATTAAAGGTGCATTGGGAGTGGTAGAGAACCTTAGATGGGACAAAGAACATTAAGAACAAACGTATATAAGAACAAAAGATATTTTATATAGTTGGGGGAAACTAACCACACTAGCAATTAGGAGTGAGTGTGGGTTGAAACTGGCTAGTCAGATAAGCTACTTACATGGCTGGGGACGGACCCACGTTGAAGCTCGTGGCCAAGAAAGTATCACATAATAGGATCTCAAAACTTTTATACGCCCCCATTAAAAAAATTTCATTTGCCCTTATCATTTCAAAAAAAAAAAAAATACTTGCCCTTTTACAAAAATTCGCTTGTCCCACATACAAATTTATGATCTAAAAGACTAAAACTTATCCCATTAAAAAAATAATCTTTTATTTTATTATAATTTTATATTTTATGCATTCTTTTTAGAATTTAATTTTATTATTTTATATTCTTAATAAAAATTAATAAATATTTAAAATTATTTTTATAAAAATATTAATATTTATTTTAAATATAAATTATGCCTTCATTAGTTTATTTTTCCAGATTCGTCACTGCATATGGTCCATCTTGGATAGGGCACAGGTTGTGTTTTTCAACTCGATGCCTATCCCAACTTGTGTTGGCCCATAGCCTGTTGGGTCAAGGCAGGCTAAAATGGGCCTAGGCTGATATTTTTGAAAAAGGACGTTTGTTTTTTTTTTTGCCGGATGAATCACTCGATAAATTGTCAAGTCACTATTATTTGGGCCAAAAAAAATTACTCCTCTCGAAAATAAAGCATGTTGTTAAGTGAATGGTAATTCACACAAAGATAGTCCTTGCCAATGGAACTTTACTTACTGGCTAAAATATAGTTCCATTAAAAACCAACCTTTCAAAATGAAAATTTACTTACTTTATTACAAGCAAATAAA